TATAGCACCTCTTAGCATGGTTTGGCTTCCTATATCTAACAGAAAAAATTACATATGCAACCCACTAAAAATACAGTTTATTGAACAATGCCAACAAACACTAGAATCCCTTCCCTAAGTGACAAGATTTCTGCCCCCAAAATCTGAGAAATAGAATTATTTAAAAACTAAGAAAATAAGAAACTCGTGTCTAATTCTGCAGCCAGCCAAAACTGGGATCTGTCAAACAAACAATAAGGAACTAGTTCCAAAGTAGGAACTCCCATTTAAGCAATCATTCTTACTGAGGCCCATTAACCCAGAATCTAGTCAAACTGATGATAAATGGCACTTTTCAGACATTTGGAAAGAGACACTGATGAAAACCTGAATCCTCCCAACAGGAGGCCAAAACAAAAAGAAACTCTATAAGGTTACCTAGTTATAAAGCCACCCAAGTTCCAGAACACCATCTCTCTCAGTAGGCAGACAGAAAACTTATAACAAAAATTAAGATATATAAAATATTGCAAGGAAGATAATACGACAGCATCATTTTATTACTGCTCAATGTATAGGTTGAAAATTAAATCCAAAAAATTGTCTCTAAAACCAGACCAGATAAATCTGTTATTTTTTTCCTATATATTGTTGTAATACTACAGCATGATTAAATAGATCATGCTGCCCTCTTGTGCTAGACTTGCAAAAATAGCCTTTATTCATGTGAGTGAACAGATGAAGTGGAACATATGAAGCATTCACTATGAAGTGGAAAATGTCCATATTTTTCTCCTAACAGATAACTCGACATGCATGTGGCTCCCATATTGCAATCTGGATGAAGAAGCAGAGGTAAGTTTGAAAAGAAAAGGACAACTTGTACATTCCCAAAAAGAATGTAAATTCTATTAACAAATACAGATAATCCCTGAAACCCAATGATGTGATTCATCACATCACACCAATCATCATTATGAATCCATAATTAAGATTATGCTGGGATCTGTACCTAAAACTGACTTTTAATCATGTAACTTTCAATCTGCTTCTTAGTATAGGATAATTTTTTTTTCAAACTTTAGATATTTAAGATCCAGAATTTATTAGGTCTTCAGGAATACATAGTTAAAAGTGAGGGGGTACTCACCATGCATCAAGTTGTTTTGCTTTAACTGCCCTGTGTGTCTTTTCTATCCTGTGGTAAGTGGAAACAAAACTACAGTAATTTAGCTGTTGTTTCATTCATAGGTAAACTGTCACATTTACCTTCCACTTATTGTGAGATAGAGTGGATGCATGAAACAGTTATCATGAAGCAGCTGACACAAGAAAATTGTTCATCTGTCACATTCAAATGTTTAAGAAACTCAGAAAGTCAGATAAAGGTTCACTTGAAGAATGAATCCTAATTTTAAATTTTTACATGTGTATTATACTAAATAAAGCATGAAATCTGATCACTTAAAACCACCATTCACAAAATAATGTCTATTATTTCTTTTATTTTCTAGAATATCACTATTCTACAAATGCTTCTAGATTCCTTTAACCAGTCTCAATTTTGTCGCAGATTCTCCTACACCAAAACACATTTTCATTCTTCTGAAATTGCCAGAGTACCATTAAGAGATCTCTCAGCAAGTCCAACAGGATCCTCTCTCTCCAGCCAAAGCCAACTAGTGAAACACAGAATTTAGAACAGAAATTATTTCCATTGTTCATCATAGCTGACTTGATCTGTGCCCTTGGGAGTTAACAGACATCCTGATTCTCAAAACCTATTTCCCAGTGATTCTCCTTATAAACCCATTTCCCTGGCAGGAAATTTCCAGTGTTAGGCACTTTTGAAAAATTAGGCTTAGTGGATTTAGGGGTCTATTATAAAACAGCTCAGCCTTGGCATTTAGCATTGTTGCTTATGTTTTGAGAGATCACGTAACATAAGACCCTGATGCAGGACAGAGAAGTAAGAAGACTGCTAAGACTGCAGGAACATCAAAATGAATTTCTTAACTTATGTGCAGGTACAGTTTCATCTTTACTAGTTCATAAAATGGTAATATAAGTATTATATAAAGTAGGGACCTACTCAAATTGCAATTTTGTGGAAAGTGCAAAAATCGGTCAGCCTTTGTGAAATCCACAGGAAATAAAAACTTACTAAAATGCTGACTCCCCAATGGGAGCCAAGAGTCCTCCCCAGCCATGCAGTCTGCTGGTGGAAGGTAAGCAGACAAGATGGTTGCTGCTCCTGCCCCTCTCCACCAATCAGCAGCAAGGTGTAGGGCCACAGGATGGACAGCCCTCTCAGCCAATCAGAAGTGAGAGGCGAGGCTATATGATGGACAGCCATCTCCACCAATCAACGGTGGGAGACAGGCCACCGGGGCCCCTCAGCCAGAGTTGTGGGGGGGCCCCACCATGATAAGCTCATGAAAACTGCGGCCAGCCCCCTGATCTGCCCATGAATTGGCCAGATGAGTCTTCAAGTTGGGTAGACCCCTAATAATAAGAGAACCACATTTGCAATGATTGTGTGCTACATTTCTTTAAAGGAATTTCTTTCAATAAATAGAGATATTTATTAGCTTGCACAAACCATACTCCAATTCAAAATCTAATAATATAGCTCAAAGGCATCTTTGCTGTGAGGTAACAAACGAAATATATTCATACAGTAAAAGACTGTTGACATTACTACACCTCCCCCTATGTTCTATATACTACAAATGCAGTGGGGAGGAGCGGGGGGAGCAGGAAGGGACTGCACATATGGCAGAGGCGGTCAAAATATGGCCCAGGGGCCAGATCTGGCCTGCCAGGTGATTTCATCCAGCCCATGGGCAGGGGCCCACAAATTTATTACATCTGGCCAGACCCACAGCTGCCTCTGCTGTACTCCACATGGGGCTGAGCCCCACTCACCCACACCAGGGCAGTGCACTGTCCTACCACCCTTGACTGCAGGAGGGCCGTAGCCCTGGCCCCAGCCAACACACACAGCTTCCAGGCGGGGCTGCTGCTGCCACTGCTTTCCTTCCCCAGCCTCCAGCAGCACCTGCTCCTACTGTAGCACTCTGCGAAGCAGCAATGGGAAGGAGGAAAGCTGCAGATGGCCAGGAGCACAGGGCCCACACCAGGGCTGGGTCTCACAGGGTCAGGGCAGGTCACTGGGAGCATGGAATCCAGGTCAGCAGCAGCTGGCTCCCCACGGCTCATGTGCAGCTCCCAGGACTTGACCGGAGCTTCACACCACCAGAGGGCTCCACCTGCCACAGGTCACGATCGTCTCAAAGGCCCACTACCTGTTGCTTCTGCAGCTGCTGTTGGTCACAGGGGCTGTGTACCATGGTGGGGGGCATGTGAGGGGGCTCCTATACACACCCATACCCCACAAACCCACCCTTCCACCCCACACACAAACACCCCAACTACACCCCACACATAGCTCAAAATAAAATCTTACTCTTGTATACTACAACACAATCACCTCTGCATACACTATGCAAACACACACAAATCAGGACAAAATATTTTTTGAAATACAATTTAAATATTTCATAGTAGATGTTCAATTTTTAGTATACGATTCCATTTTTTTCCGGTTCCAAGATTGCATTCCCCCCCCCCCCCCCCCCCCCAAAGGGAAATGTGGTCCCCCCCCCCCCCCCCCTTCCAAAAGGAGAACTTGGTGTGGGGAAGGGAGGGCCAGTGGCAGCAAGGGGAGCAACTCCCAGTGGCCAAGGTCAGGGGTTAGGGATGGGACTCCCAGTCCCAAAATGGCAACCAGGGGGCAGGGCACCTGTCAAGGGGTAAGGCTACCCTTGCAGCCCTCAATAGCTCACCAAAACTCATTTAGCAGCCTTCCAGCTTAAACATTGCCCACCCTGACATATGGTGGTCAGTCCTGTCATTGTTCATCACCAATTCTAAACAGGTATTACAGGAACACAGATCCTACCCCACAGAGATTCACTCTCTGGTCACCACCCTATAGCTGAGCTTACATTTTCCTTTCCAACCATTCCTGTGATCTTCAAACCTAAACTACTGCATACACATAATAATAGCCCACAAACAATACAAGTTTAGGCATGCACAATGGTATGTTTAAAGAAAGGGAACTATGTGCATATACGCTATCATGATCTGACTTGAACTGACTCTTTACACAAAACTTTTCTGGAAGGAAAAAGAAATTCTATGAATGTATAAAAATATGTATCCCTATTAGATTTTTTTCATTAGGAAACAACTTTCTGAATTGTAAGAACAAGTCTACTCATTTTTCTTTTTGAGATAATTAAAGGTAGAAAAGCCATCACCCTTCCATTTCCCATAAACCAGTGACTACCTAGTTGGCATTCTCTTTCTTCATCCCTCCTCGCTCCATTTCACCTTCTTATTTCCTTTCCTTCTACTGCCTTAAACCACCTATTCTTTTCTTGCTCCCCCCCTTCTCAAATCTCATTATCTAATTTCACACAAATTGATCAGGTCTACTTGGAATCCAAACCCCTTTCTCTTCATTATTTCAGATGATAACTTTTAACTTGTGTAGTTTGGGTTTTCTATCAACTCTGAGTGAATGAATGAATTGTTCTTACAAAAGGCTAAATTGCCGTTTTTACAGTCATGCATTACCATAGCAAATTTTAAACCAGATTATTAAAGAGATAGATATAGATACCTATATATCTAATAAGCCTTGGACTTCTCCAATACTTATTAGAACTAGTTTCCAAAAATAAAAAAAAATACAAACATAACAGGTGCCCCATAAAATGCAAACATATTTGTTGTCCCAGTGCTAGCAAACTCATGCAGCTAAATCATGTAATTAATAGCTCAACTGGTAAGTTAGCATGCAGTACCAATGTAATAGCTTGTCTGCGAGTGCAAAAGCAGAATTAGGTGAATTAATTTGGATTACCATATATTTGCCTAATTTTTCTTTTACATTGCTTATCATAATTGTCAATGTATATTATATGATAATTTTAAAATATTCAGCTTACCAATAGGGTTCCTGTCGAAAAACAACACTGGAGCTTTCAAAATTGACTGAAACATTTTGTTGTGCAAAATCTGACCAGCATTAACAAGAACTTGAAATACCAAAAGACTTCTTATTATGCCAAACAGTATTGTAACCACTGTTAAACCTAAACACGAAAGAAATAATCATAGAACACACATATATCTTTTATACAAGAGCTGAAAAGAGCAATTTAGTTAAGACAAAATTATATATATTTTGCTCACTGCTGGGTTCAACACAGTTTGCAGAAAGAGAAAGAACGCAAGATGAAGACAGGATTCCAGATGAATCAGTTACTATAAACTTGCTAATACCTTGAATTATCCTCACATTGTCATTTGAAAGAAAATTTATATTTTGCTGTTGCTAATAGTAATAAATTGTTTTATTAAAACAGAAAAAGTTGTTAGTTAGCCTTGTATAATATCCCTGCATATCTGCTCTTATTCATCAGACACCACACTTAAATGTAATACTGTACATAGTCCCCAATTATTTCTCATTCTAAGAATGGGGGAAACCAACTTTTTCAGATATCAGCATATGGCAAAAATGAGAAACAGTGAGCTTTTAAATGGCATGCACTTATAAGTTAGGTCAGTCAGATGTACAATACTGTTTGTGGGTGACTTTCTGCTAGCTTAGCATTCTACATTCTTACAATATTTTTTTAATCTTTGTTTTATACAACCAAAAGGATTAGAAAGAAAGTAGTATACAATTTTCAATTACCGGGTACCTGAGACAAAACACTGGACACTCTTGGAAAAGTGGTAAAACATATAGATTATATTATCCCATAAAAATATGTATTTTCACAATTGGTTTTCAAGTTTATTTAGACTTGATTCCTATAAAAGATGGCACTGGATCAACTTATTTTCTGTTCATTAACTCTGTCTTGCAGCTTTCTTAAAATTTCAGTATCATCATTTATCTATACTGTTTGTCACTTTAAACAAAGCTTGTATAAAAATCTGTTTAATTTATTTGTAAACTAATCTACAGTTGTACAATCATAAAAACGTTGATTTTCTTACCCTTAGCCATACTCTACAGTCCTATATGGAGGTCTACAGTCCTATATATCACAAAATAACATACCAAATAGAGGAAGAGTGATATAATCTGGATAGGGGCTGTGTTTTAAGTGCATCTAGATTAAATAAAAAGACAGAAGTGTACCAGAATACATTCTGTTTGCTTGTTTCCTTGGTGTCCCTCAGGACCACAATATAAAAGAGTGTTTCCTGTCATAAAAGGGAGTGTAGGGTGTTCATGTTGTGCACCAGAATAAACTGAAGCAAGTGATAACTAATTCATATTTAGGGGCAACTTCTTTTGGCATGGTTGACTTTACATGTTTATTCCCTCCTCTGACTAATTAAAACATATAATCTTTACATTAGGGAATGGTATGCAAACTCTAATACTATTGATCAGATCTTTAGAAGATATGTAGATAGATATTTTTGGAAACCCCACTTACTATTTAGGTATCTAAAGCCCATTGAAATATATTAAAGAAATATTTTTTTCCCTATCGCTGAAGTACAATAGCAAAGGAACCAAAGAAGAATATCCATGATGAGTCTTTAAAAGCCAGCATTTTGTAGGAACAAAAACTGGAATACTGAGTTTCAGGATGAGGATCAATGTCTAATCCCTCTTGCCCATCCATAAAATGATTGAAGATTTAGCGGAACATATTAGTATAGACAATAACCACAAGTTTACGGTGACTGACTTTTTGAATACTCAATTCTTAGTTTACCTTCCAAAATCCAGACAGAACAAATTAAGAATCTCCATTCAACCCATTTCTTCTGCTAGATTTTTTCTTTTTTTTAATTACTACAATTAATTTAGTCAGGAAACAAGTCTCAGTATGCTAATCTGTCAAGACATTACTGAATCACTGTTGAAATCCTATTTTCCCACACTACTGCTTAGCAGATGCTTTCAAAACCCTATACTATAGCATTGCAAATAATTCAAATATATATATTACCTGCATAAATGCCTAAATACAAGGTTAGATCTAGATGCACAGTCTCATTTACTCCTCCATTTCCATTTGTTGTGACATTCAGATTTTTTTGCTGATTTGCCCTGTAGAAATATATGCAAAAAACGGAATAAACAATATAATAGAAATATTACGTAAGCAAGGCCTTAACTAAGCTGTGTACCTTTTATTAATATGCAAACAAACAATTTACTGCTTTTTCAAATCAACTTGAGATTTGCAGGTCTAAATATATGCCTATGTTCAGGCTGTCATGAGTCACACATGGGTGAAGACTTCTGGTCACACTATATTGTAAGAACTTTACATTGTTTCAATAGGTAAAATAAGTGAGGTTTAAAAGACAAGGATGACTGAATGAGTTTTAAGTTTTCCTTAGAACAGGCTCCACACCCTCCCTCCACTCACTACTGGATTTCCGTTGATTGTACAACACTTTTGTGCAAACGGCAGAAATAACTCACCAGTAGGAAAGCCACCAATCCTGGAGCACATAAGCAACCTTAAACAAGCAAAGTCAAATTAATATACATACAGCAAAAATTACTCAAAATGTAAGCTTTCAGAATTGTTTTTCTTTGTCCTCTAGTAAAATCTCATTAAAATAAGCAAACAAAAACAAATCCACAAACAAAAATACACACAACACAGTTCCTTTCCTAGAGTACTATACTAGAAGGTGGGCCCTTTCTCATCATCAGTTAATACAATGTGTCACTGCATATCTAGAAAAAAATCAGATGGGAGGCATCCAAGCGAAAGTACCGCCTCCAATTCTCCAAGTGCAAAACACCTTGAAAGAGGTGTAATCATCTGTCTTCAGAAAACAAAAAATGACCCTGCTCTGTGAACTACTTGATGGTGAACAAAAGGAAAAGCAATACTGTTGACCAAAAAAAAAAAAAAGGTCTCTGGCCACTTTCTCATATATTTTAAATTGAACATCAAATGGTTAGGTTTATCAATTCCTAAATTTCCTCCTATGTCAAACATCAAAAGATTAGGTTTATCAATTCCTACATTTTCTCGTATGTCCCAAAAGGAATCTTGCTTGGCTCATTTGTTCCCAGCAGAAGAGCCAACCCCTGATGCCACCTGTCTATAAGTGTATTTATTTTGGAGGGAGATAATTAAATTAGAAACACATAGTCAAAGAATTTCTGCTTCCCTTCCCTTTCTTTCTTGCCTAGAGATAAGGATAAACTAATAAACTAAGGACTAGTGCTTATTAATCTTAAATTGTGCCTCTGTTCACTTAAATTAAAATGGGTACATTACGCTCATGCACGCACACACACACACATACCCTGCAGATGTACAGTAAATATTGTAGGCCTACCTCAGAAAAATCTGATTATAAATTACAATCTTTCCAAACATAGAAACTTAATTGAAGAAAAGTAAGTAGTAACTGGTGCATTTTTTAAAATTGTCTTTCCAACCAAGACCAGTTATTTCCATGAAACTACTTTAAACGTTCCCATCAGGACAAAGAAATATGGTCATATTCCTTATACTAACAGCTTTACTGATTTTCTTTTTTTTCCCCCAGAAACATTCAAAGTGGTCCTGCTTGTTTAAAACTTCATGAATTTGCTACAGCCACTTCCTCACACATTATTTTCTACTGTCCCCATCCAGTAGTCTAACTAGGATGTAGCAACAGGGAGCACCAACCATGGATGCCAATTTGGAGGCAGTGCCAGTCTGTACCCCCAGCAGCTGCAGCCAGACGGTGCACAGAATCAACCCCAGGCATGGACCCAGCAAGGCAATATGCAAGAAGCTGGCCTTGAACCTTGCCCCAGCCCTGATCCCAGTCCCAATCCCAGTCTCAGCCCTTGTGAGGCAGAATACAGGGAGCCAGCCCTGACAGTAACTGCATCCGCTGTCAAGTGAGACCCTCCCATGATTGTCCCCACTTGCACCTCCTTCTCACCCCCACAGCTTTCAAGTACTTAGCACAGTATTCCCTACCACCCTAATCTCTTCCCAGTGCACAAACGTCACTAGTTACACTGTCCCCACCAACTAAATAATCACCTCTGCCCCTTTCTATAACCCAGGAGTCAGCAATTTACAGACCACAGGCCATATTTTGCCGGTTGAGCCACTTGATCTGGCTTGCAGACAATGGGCTTCAGCAGTGGGAGAAATGGTGGCAGCCACTGGGTCTTTCCACCAACCTGCCTGCCTCTGACCCAAGTTGGGTCATTCCAGGCCACAGCGTAAGAAAGTTGCTGATCACTGTCATAAACTACTGCCTGGGGCTGGAGAATCTCTTTCCTCTGCAGTGTTTTTATACCAGAGCAGCCTTCTTTTACCATAAAAAGCATTTTCTTCCTAACTGCTGCCTGTTAAAATGTGCTGTATGGCTTATTTTTAGATAACTTTGGGTAGCTGTAGTATGCATCTCTGAAAATTGTAATGGTATATAATTTGTTTGAATAGAACAATCAGAAAAATTTAACCAGCACAAAATTGCTCAAAGCACTAGGTCTTTTGAACAATGGGCTACTAACTAAATGTCCCACTAGGAAACAGTATTTGAACTAATTTAACCACATTCCAATAGACCATAAAAATTGTAAGACAGCATCATAGACCAAAATCCTTTCTGGTGAAACATGAGAACACAGCCTTCAACTGAATGACAAGTATAAAAATGCTACTGCTACCATAAACACAAAACAAGATGCATTCTTTATTATTTGTAGAACCAAGAGATGGAATTACCTGTGCCAACACATTTAAAAACAGTAGTATAAAAATGATAAAATAGTTTGCTCCAGCAGAAAAGTATTTCCTGTATATTTTAAAGTTTATTTTTCCCTCTGACCGGCTCTCTTCTGGCACTGCAGTCAGCACAGGTTCAGTCTGCACAGAATATAATGGATAGGAAAGCTAAAGTTATATGGATTCATAAAATTCAGTGATACAGCATAGTTAAGAATTACCAAAACACAAAAAACAAAAAACAAACCTAAATATGGAGCTAAAATGATTACACTAAAATATTTTTAGTTTAAAATTTATATTAAAAAGATGAGAAAAAGAAGAAATTCAATTTTACAATATAAGATACTCTAAAAATTTGACTCCACAAAATACAATCATGGTGGTTTCAAGTTTGCCTCATGGTGGTTTCAAGTGACCTTAAGTTAACTGTCTCAGCAGACAAGCAAAAAAATTGTTGCAACTGCCAGTGCTGCAAAAATAATTCCCATCCTAGAACCAAAATGTGCTTTCTCTTTCATATATCATTATCGCCAGTATTAAAGAAGTCCTGGAGACTAAATCCTTGGTTTGGGAAGGTATCGATAAACAGAAAGAGAATATGCTTGAAAATATTTCTCATAAATAGGACTGGTTTTCTGAATCAAGGTCTAAAAAGATTCGTGGTACAGGTAGGGTCAGCCCCAGGATTTGGCAAAGGGGGGTGTGATATGACAGCAGGCACCCCACTGTGGGGGTGTCTGCACTCATGTTCCCAGCCTCCTTCCTCACAACTCACTGGTGTGAACAGACTCCACTGCAGGAGCCTCTGGAGACTTTTTTTTAAATCAGCAAAAAGGGAACATCCCCACTTTCCCCCTGTACTCAAGGCACGTCACCTCCCCTTCTGCCACTCCCCAGACTGGTGCCGCTTTCCCAACTTTTCTGGGCCTGGGGAAAGCCTCAAAGCCACTCCTGTCCACTCCAGCTACATTACGTGAGAGCTGGGCTCAGAGAGAGCAGCAGCAGGGCTGATGGGTGGGAGAATGTGGTCTCCCACCCTGCCCAATCCCCAAGGAAGGGGAATCCCCGTCCCCACCCCCCAGTGCTGTCACTGTTGCTGTTCCAAGCTGAGCCCAAACCCCAGTGCAGACTAGCTGTAGTGGGCAGGAGCAGCTTTGAAGCTTACCCCACCCCCAGAACAACAGGGAAAGCAGCAGTGGCAGGCAGGCAAACAGAGAAAAGGTAAGGAAGGGGAAGTGCCTTTGAGCACAGAGGGTAAGAGTTGGATTCTTACCAGCTTTCAGGACTTTTTAAAAACTCTCCAGAGGCTCCCATGCCACTTCCACCCTACTGAATCCTTCCTGGGGGGCTGCTCAGAGGAGTGCTCAGAGGCAACCTTAACTGTGTTATTTCCTAATTGCTGAGTGCCTGATTTTGCGACCGTAGCTTTCATTTAGTTGTCTGTATATCACCCCTTTATGTTTCTGCTTGGTAAGCTGTGGACCACCAAGCAATAAACTCCTTTTGTGATCTCTTTCTGCGCTGGTCTTCATTCATCTTAAAGGCACCTGATTTAGTATTACTAAAATTCAAGCACACCAAACCCTTACCACACCAATAGCATAAGTTGAAAAAAAAATACTGTGTGTCCTAGTGCTTATAGTGGGTACTCACACACAACTGTTCTATTGCTCCATCTTTCTGCGACTGCACAGAGGAATCCTCTGACCAGACTGAGGACTGTGAAAAAGCACGATTCCTTGATGACTTCAATTTGGGGGTCCCTGGGACTGCCAACTGCTCATCTTCACCATTTTTTTTCAAAAGGGAAGCAAAGTCGATTCCAGATTTCAGAAACTCGGAATAGGTCCCTTTCCCCACCATTCTACCCTAAAATTGAAATATTTTTTAATGATGTTCATAGTCAGTGTACACATCCTGAAAAGGGTGCATTTGAATTTTCCCCTCTATATATCTATTGCAGAAATCTTCTTAACTCCCATGATTTTTGGCCCATGCACTGTTAACAAATAAAAACCTTGAAAGATTCCTAGAAGACCTCATCTCTTATTTATAGTATAGAATAATTAACAGAAAAGAACTCTTTATTTAAATTCTTCACTCCTCCCTCCTTAGAATATAAACAGTTAGTAGGACACAGGTGAAGGTCTGGAGCTGCCTAATGCCATGACTTACATCTTTTAGGATTAGAATCTGGTTTACAGCATGGAGGTATTGCAACTGATGAGTCACTAAAACACGGAGCTTTTGGTGCAAGGCTTGACAAATACACCTACAAAAAGATGGAAAGAAATTAAACATACATTAATGTCCATAAGCCTGTTTTGCACATTTCTGTAGCCAGTTATTACATTTACATTTTCAATTTGGACCAGAGCCAAAAAAGGACTTGAATGGTCTTATGCGTCTCAGTCCCACTTGGTGATCTACAAAAAACCCACCTGCTTTGCAATCATTTAAATCCTGGAGCCAATTTAACTCAAGAGGTACCTGCCTTTTTTTTACCTGCAAGTTTTCTTTCTGTATATCCCCCATACTGCCCCTGTCTGAGCTACTCAGTCCCAAACTCCCACCGAAATTTCAATTGCTCCACCTGGTTTCCAGGTCTCCTGAATCCACAAAGCATGCTTAGAGCATTGTTCAAACACAGAGAGTTTATTTCAGCACAAAACAATAACCATGGACATTCTAAAGCACAACATTGTGATAGGGGACTTGGCTTTTCCTACAGTGGCTAAATATTAGCTCATTAAGTGGGAGACCTGACCCTCTTTGGACTGGAGAGTTTCAAACATACCTCTCCCAGCACTCGGGAGTGAAATCTAAGCATGGCCTCTCCAACCTCCTGTTAAAGCAGTATCACAGGGAAAAAAGGAATGCAAAAGTCTTGAGGGTAGGGATGTCAAACATGCAGCCAGTATCTGGCCTGCAAAGGAGGGTCATCGAGCCTTCAGAACTTCTTGTGGACTGGGCAAAACATCTGTGTGTGTCAGGCCTTGTCACCACAGTGGCCTGCAGGGTTAGGGTGCCTCTGAAAGTCAGGGGTTAAATCTGCTGCAACCCACTCACACCTTCCCATGCCCCTTACCTGCTGGTAATTTGAAGGTTTTAGTCACTGTTAGTAAAAATCAGTGGCAGGGGGAAAGGGTGTGAGTAACAGTCCTGTTAACCCCCTGGGTTAAAGAACTGTGAGCAGTTTTATCCTTGGGGAAAAGGGGAAGAGGTGGTCTTATACGCAGATTATTCTGTATCCTACAGGAAAATAGCAATTTTAAATTATTTATCATAGTATATTCTTAGGTAACAAGAAAAAGCAACAACTTGACTACCTTTTCTACTCTGAGAATGTTTATATGCAAATTACCATGTGGCAAAACTGATAAATGGTTGCATCCTGTAGGGCCATAATGAATACTTAATACATTTTGTTTTAACTGTAAACAGTAAAATGAGATGATAATACATGCTGAAAAACAGTTACATTTTCAAAACATGAGCAAGATTATTTAACTCAAATATTGACCATATTGAAAGCCAAGTTTAACCAGAAGTAGGCATTTTTCCACAATGCTCTCCTATTTGACACCTTTTGCACTGACACTTAATGAAATGACTGAGAAGAGTACCCTGACCCCAGCTCAGCTTGTATGAATCAGAGAATATGATCACCGAATCACAGGAAATTAGTGGGGTGTGTAGATGAAACTAGGGCCCTAAATTGAAGCAGCGGGTTTTTAAAAACACTGCTTCAATTTAGGGCCCTTTAAACTCCCGTGTAGTGCACACATCTGAACTTACCTGCCTCTCCAGTGGGACCCTCCCTGCCTCTCCAGTGGCGGGGAGGGGAGGGTGAGCTGCTGGCAGGCAGAGCGGTCCCTGGGCTGCTGGGGGGGAGCTGGTGCTTCCCTCCACGGCAACAGCGGCCCCCACCCAGGTGGCACCTGCCCACAGGCACCCGGCACAGGCAGTCCCAGGGGGCAGTGCAGCTGTGGAGGAAAGCATCAGGCCCCCCTGCAGCTCAGGCAGGAAGGCAGGCTCCAGAAGAAAAAAAAGAACTTGAGCAGAGCCTGTCTTTCCCGGCTGGTGCCAGGCTGCCTGCACCCCAAGTCATTTAAGTTTTAGTTTGCTGCACCCCAGGTCATTTAAGGCGCATTACGCCGCCAAATTTCCTACAGTGGCTGGAATTATCGCGCAACATGCTGCCGACGCATGCAAACACCACTATTAAAGCAGTGCAAAAGCACTTTCATAGATTTCATAGACATTAGGACTGAAAGGGACCTCAGAAGATCGAGTCCAGTCCCCTGCCCAAAGGGCAGGAAGTCAGCAGGGCTTATAGGATCCCAGCAAGATAGACATCCAAATGTCTCTAGAAGGCGTTCAAAGTAGGTGCTTGAACCACCTCCAGCGGCCCTCTATTCCAGACCTTGGGGGCTCGGACACTAAAGAAGTTCTTCCTTATGTCTAGCCTGAAACAGTCATGAAGGAGTTTGTGACCATTTGACCATCCCCTGGAGTGCTCTGGTGAACACATGTTCCCCCAGATCCTGGTAAGCACCCCTTATAAACTTATAGGTGGCCACCAGATCACCCCTGAGCCTGCGGTTTTCCAGGCTGAAGAGTCCCATGGCTCTCAGTCTCTCATCGTAAGGTCTGTTTTCCTGACCTCTGATCATGCATCTGACTCTCTTCTGGATTCTTTAAAGATTCTCCACATCCTTTTTGAAGTGTGGAGCGCAAAACTGGACACAGTACTCCAGTTGCGGCCTCACTAGGGCCAAGTATAACAGAAGAACGACATTCTGGGATTTGATTGAGAAGCATCTATGGATGCAAGCCAGTGTTTTGCTTACTTTACTAGCCAAAGCATCACATTGAAGGCTCATATTCATCTTGTGGTCAATCATGACCCCCATTTAACCCACTTTAAAGTGTTATGCACACATGACTCTCATTTCGTCTACACACAGCCTATGGCTGTAAAGGACCTCACAAGGTCATGTAGTCCAGATCCCTGTTCAACTGATCTATAGGACTGCCATGCCAGACAAGTGTTTGTCTGACCTGCTCTTGAAAATATCCAGGGATGGAAATTCCAGAACTTTTCTAGGTAGTCTGTTCCAATACTTGGCCAGCCTCGCAGTCAGAAAGTTCCTCCTAATCCCTAACCTAAATTTCCTTTGCTATGACTTTAGTCCATTGCTCCTAGATCTGTCTTTACAACTACAGATAAAAGCCCATCTCCATCACCTCTATAATTTTCCTTCAAGTATTTGAAGACTTATCAAACCCCCTTCAGTCTTCTCTTCTCCAGACTAACTAACCCTAATTATTTTGGCCTTTCCTCATGCTTTTCAGGTTTCTAATTATTTTGGTCACTCTCTGCTGAACTTTTTCTAACCTATCTACAACTTTCTTGAAGTGTGGAGTCCCAAACTGAACACAGTAGTACTACCAAGCCATCTAAGTAGTTCCTTCCTGGTACATTTTACTTCAGAAGAATGTATTCCCATTGACAGATCAGAATTCTAAAAAAGGTGCACAATAGCAGTAACCAGCACTGCAGAGGAGGCTGCACTCCCTTGCTCATTGGCTCTCCACCCCACCTAGGGCAGGTAGAACATGCCATGGAAGCAGTAACCAGGGAACTTTAAGTTCTTGAAACAAAAATCCCCTCCCCAACTCTTGGCACCTACCCTGATCACCTCCATGCTTAGCAGTATGTCCCCGGTTAACACAACAGCAGAAGGGAGCCCCAGAGCCCTCTACTTACACCTCTAGACCCTCCTACTGCTGCTACTGTCCAAGCTGCTCCTGCTCCACTCCAGCAGGGGCTGCAGGGAGGTTGTACAAGGATCCAGGTTTGACTGGGATCAGAGGCAGCGGTAGTACATGGATTTTCCCTCCCCATGCCTGCTCCCAGGATGGTGGGGAACACCCAGCTGATTGGGCAGAGGAAGAACCCGTCCACTGCTGCTGCTGTCCCCAGTTATGCCCAGCTCCCTGTGCAGGATTGGTGGAGCTGGGTAGGAGGGGTTCTGGAGCTTCCCATCACTCCAGATCAGCCTGAGATAGTGGTGGGCAGGGAAGTGGACAGAAAGGAGAAGAGGCATGCTGCTGAACATGGAAGGGAAGGGAGGGGTGGGTGTAATTAGGGGTTACAATAGTGTAAGTAGGGGTGGGCAAGAGGGCCATGTTTCAAAAAGGGGAAGGGGAAGGGGAAGGGGAGAGGAGGGATGACCATGCCACTACACCCCCTTGTCCATCCACACCTGGGATAAGAACTGTAAACTAATACATAGCTAAAAAAGAATGTGGCAATATATCATCTTACTTGGCCACCTGCAAGTCTATACTTAGCAGGCTTAAAATGAACTGTACACAGATTATACACACGTAGAAATGCCCCTGTACTACCATAGACGTAGGTCACAGATTTCAAACCAAGACCTCAAACTGTATGAAACTGATCAGGTTCCGACACAGATCACATAAGGGACAGCCTTATACTGATCACTATTGGAAACAATATTCCTTAATTTTTAATATTTTAACAAGCAAAATGCATGTTAAAAAGCTTTCCTAGGGAATGAGACACTAAAAGTAAAGTACTTTAAAAGAGTGAAGAAAATGGAAGAGGGCAGCATAGGTGAGAAGACATTGGTAAGAAGCTGTTTATTTATAGGGATAAATGTTATTTAAGAAGACTGGAATTCCCCAAACAGAGCCATGGAATTATAAATCCATTATAACTAAAAGCAGGTGAAAAATCTGTATGCAGTGAAAAGCGAGAGGTATATTCAATATGCTACATACCTGCTACATATGCATTCCATATGTTACATTCCATCAGCTCCAGTTTGTTTGTAATGGATTTATAGCAGTTTTCAATTTTTTTTTAAGGAGTGTACCCCTTCTGGGTGACAGAGGCCAGACGTGGAGCAGTGGGGGGGCTTGCACATGGCAGTGGTGACATGGGGTGGTGGGTGGCAATGCTCCATCCCTGCCTACCTGCATTTACCCCCTAGCCCCTTTCCAAGTACCCCTGGGGGTATGCATACCCCCAGTTGACAACGCCTGGATTTATAAGGATCAACCCAATGAAGTGTAGAAGACCTCCTGAACACTGCTGATCCCCTTCAACATCCAATGAGCATTGTGGATGTCCAGCAACTTGCACTATTTGTTTCTATCTCCAATGTTCCATTTTGGCACCTAAAAACTATCCAATAGCTTGCAGGCTTCAATCCTGCCAAGCATACTGTAGAAAATGCACTTGCCTCCATGGGGTCTGCACTAGCGTGGGGCCCCAACCAGTCAATTGCTAGCTTGGCACCTTAGTACATAATCCTTGTTTGTTCTTCCTTCTAAATCTAGTTCCGTTTTCCCTCCAACAGTGGTGAGGGGAGAGAGAGAGAGAGAGAAAGAGAGAGAGAGAGAGTGTGTGTGTGTGTGTGTGTGAGAGAAAGAGAGAGAGAGAGAGATTTTGTTTTTAAGTTTTTTATCTCTAAGAACCAGCTTTCTTTCATATCTGAATTTTTTCCCTTTTTTCTTTAATGACTTTTTTTTTCCTTGCATTCTTTTTGGCCTCTCTTTTTGGATGATTATGCACATGATTAACTTTATTACAGCAACCACTTTCTTACAGTGATTTCCACTAAAATCAATAAGAATGTCCATCTGCAATAAAGCAAAGTGTGAACTGGAATCTCTATTACTATTACTGTATATTTGATTTGTTCTTCACTCATGTTTTCTCCTCAATTTCCCCTGGTTTAAGAGATTTACTATTATTTTTCTACAAAATATTTCTAAAAGTTTCATTGAACTTAGTTTCTAAAACCATATCTCTGAACCAAGAAACAAAATATTTTGCAAATTAAATGAAAGTACTTAATATATTTCCTAAAGAACTAAATATATTGTACATTGACTGGAAATGTTAAATGCACAAACTTCTTGTATACTATTTCTGTTTGTATACTTGTTTTGTAACATATGTAGCCACCATTTCATGAGATGCTACATTATGTACTAGTACCTACATCAGTCACAGAATTACCCTCATGTAGAAGACCAACATGCAAGAGGTTGCGTCAGTGGCTTTTTACACTACAGATAACTTGCCCTTAAAAGCTCTCTTCAGTTTTGCCTCTTCATTTAGAGGATGTAATTTACATTCCATGAACTACTTTAGACGTACTCTAGGGAATCCCTAAAAAATAATACATATTTAGATCAGAAAGGTACTAAAAAGACTTTAGTGACCCCTGCACATTATACATATTGCAAAGCTTTACATTTTGCAACTTTTAGCCCAAATGGTAAGCCCATCCCCCCTGCCCTTTTTTTTTTTTGCAAAACAAAAAAGCCACTTACATGACATTTTAGAGTTCTGCTACCAGTTGTAGGAGTTTATGTGTTTTTTTATGCTCCCTAACTACAGTCCTCTGCAGGCAGGGGGCTTCAGAATGCTTCCTGACTGAGGGGAAGAGGAGCTGCATTGATCCAACTGCAGCCCCAAAACCTCTGGGGCTGCCACCTGCTCCCCCAACCTCTCATGGGAACCAAAAAGACCATAGCACCTATAATCATATGGGGAGGCTGCTCCAATGCACTGTAATTACAGCACATCTGAGTAGACTTAATTAATTGAGTCTGCTGTAGAGTGGTAATTAACATGCTCTGGCAGACTCTAGCATCACATGTATCAGCATCCCCATGCTGAAAAATGGCAGCGGGAGTGCTTTAACTAAAGCTCATTGAACAATTTTTAGTTAAAGTGCCCCTGCCACCATTTTTCAGTGCAGGGATGCTGATACACATGATACTCCAGAAGCTTTAACTAGAATGGTTCTCAGAGCTGCACTAATTAAAAGCACCCCTCCCCGCCACCATACACAATCCTGGACCACGTCTATAAAGGCCTTCTGTGTCCATCCACCCTCCTCTTCAGCTCTTCTCCCCACTCCCACCTTGGAGCTGGACAGGAGAATGGAGCATGATGGTATACTGTCATTGCTGGACACAGAGCTTGTCCGGACCTACATGTGAAATTAAATAACTAAATTATAATATCAGTGCCTTTTTGCACAAGAATATAAACTTGTGACTGGGACCACCTAAAGCATAACAATACAGTTAATTTCATCTCTGGCTCTAGTATCAAGTACAACCCATGACCAATTACTCTAATTTAGTTATGAACAAGCTCCCCTTTCAGAGTGATTACCTCTCCCTTGCTATCACATTCCCCACCAATCTAGGTGTTTCTGCCAGTTGGAAAATATTTGGGGTTCTGCCCTGCTATCACAATAACCTATACAGTGTCTTACAATTTAGGCTCTAAGGTGCTCAATTCAAGTAACCAAGTCCTACTGAAATTAAATCAAGTAGCGTACCTCCGGTTTAGGGTGTTGGGCTGAAGTAATCAAACCATACTATAGTTAAGCAAAAGATAAACCTCCGGAGTGATCAAGGGTTTTTGTGCATGTCAGTTTCACCCACAACAACCAGAGATGGATCCAAAAGGCTAACACTGACATCACAACCAAAGAACAATAACCCTCCACCCTACCAGCTTTGTCTGGACCCTGATCTTCAACCCATTGAGAGAAATATGCTTTAAAGAAGGTGTATAAGAGAAGAAGGAAGCTGCCAGCAAGAAGCGCTCATCCCAGAAGGGAAACACCATGCTAACCCACCATAACCTGTGCCCAGTTGACCACCCTCGGCAACAGATCTACGCCTGGTGAGAAGCTGCAAAGACCAGAACCGCTTTCTTGCCCATGTTGGTGAGAAAACCACTATTATGACTTATAGTACTGTACTTGATTATACCTTGTTTTGTTTGTAGATTGCAATAAGCCTACCTGTCATTTTCCTGTAAAAACTCGTTATTTAATTAGTAAAGCCTTCCTGTTAACTATCGATGGAATTGTCATGTCAGTCTTTCTAAGCACTAAGCATCCCATTTTCTGTGCAATAAATTGTGCAACAGTCATGCTACAATGTACTGCAGAGACCATTTGTGAGAGGGGAGGCAAAAGCTCCCCCAGCATGGCCCAGAGCCTTGTCCGACACGCCCTGGCACTTACTTTAGGAGCCAAGACAAGCGGCAGCTGGAAGGAGGTGTTGATGCAAGCTCGGCAGTTCTGCAGCTGCCTGAGCATATCAGTGAACACTGGGAACATGGTTTCCAAGCAGCACAGGCTGCTCAAAAGGCAGCTGGGGATTCAGCTGAGGTGGCACCAGGAAGCAAGGAGCAGAATGCCAGCTGGGAGATGCCAGCTGCGGAGCTGGTAGGCTCCAACTCCATCTGCCCCAAGGAGCCAGGCACCTGCTGGAAAACCCTGACCGGTGAGGCAGAGGGCAGCCTCGGGGTCTGACAGGGGCAAGGGAGCCCTACTGAGGGGCAGCAGTCACAAGAGACACTGTTGGGGAGCAGCAGGACTCTGGGCACTATGGCTGGGGATCACTCCTCAAGCCCGCAGGCGTCCCCAGACAGCCCTGTAGTGGGCAGAGCACGGGGGATTCCGAGCCCCCAGAAGGGGGAAGTAGATGATGCCAGTTGGAAGGACTAGGACAACTGGACCATAGGTTTAATTTCCCATGAGAGGGGAAGCCAACCCAGAAGCAAGGGGAGGACCCCTGAAGATTGACCGCCAGGAAGACCCGTCCCTTTCAAGGTGGGCAGTGTGGGAAGACCTGCAGGGAGCAGCATTTACCCAGGCTGAGGACATGGTAAGGGTGGGGTAAAGGGGAAGTTTGGAGCCCCATGAAGACACCCCAGGACCGAGACCCCTTCAGGTCACCGACAGGGAACTGCCTCCCCAAAAACAACATCAAGGACATGGCAGGTGAGAAGGGACAGCGCCCGGACCATCTAGGTGGCACCAAAATTGGATCTCACCCTGATGTCGCTGGGGGGCAAGGCACGAACAAAGAGGGGGCCAAAACCTTACAACACCTACCAGCAACACCATTATATAGGGTGCTACCCAATGTAGTACTACAAAGAAGTTGCTGTTTGATCCAACAACATTTCTCCAGTGCTTCATGGAGTATACATGTCTGTCCACTTGACTTCTGCAGTGCAACAAATGTAACATCTGTCCATGGACACAGATAGTCTCCCTGGTCCTGGCTGCATACTGGTATCTTAAATACTAAATTCAGGAAGAGAACTCTCATAAGGTGAGCTATATTAAGTATAACTATATCTAAAAACAATGCTTTTTTTCTAAATTTTCCCATGACAAATCAGCAAATGTGAATTAAAATGAAAAACAAAAAAGACTACCAACATACTTTTCAAACAAGTGCCTGCCAACTTCTGCATCTACTGCACTCAGTGGATCATCCAGGAGGTAGATATCTGCATCTTGATACACTGCTCTACAATATTTAAAAGAAGCGTTAGTCAGGTTCATGCCAAACAATTTTTAATTAATTAATTAATTAATTAATTAATTAGCTCATATTTCCCAACAGTGGCTATTTATCATAATATCTATTGGCCTGAGGTACCAACAGAATACAAAAATATTTACCTGGCAAGATTTACACGGGACTTCTGGCCCCCACTTAGTGTAGCTCCACGATCCCCTATAATAGTTAGGTCCCCATCTTCTAATAATTCCATATCCTGTGACAAAGAGCAGGCATTGGTAAAAACAATTTATGAAAAGATATCTACATCTGTATACTAAATTACTTTATCAAGATACTTCGTTATAGATGAAGTGTTTAATAAAAAGAGTTGCATTCTGTTTACAAATTCTAATCCTATCTCAATATATTTATGTAAGAAAATAATGTAAACAATGTATCAAGACTGAACCTCCAAGCAAGAGAAAGAAGAAATGGGGGAGCAATAGAAAAAAAAATAAAACATTTTGTAAGCAGTATATTTCTCCCCCAGGTCTGCTGCTGGAAGGAAAGCATGGTTACTTCTGGACATGTATAAACTTTGCATGGATAAAGAGTATGAAGAAATCCCCCTCTCTCTGCCCCTCACTTGGATCATTCCAGGTGGATCTCTCTCTCTCTCTCTCGCTTTCTTTTTGGTTCAGGATGGTCAATCAGGTCAGTGGTTCCCAACCTTTCTTATACCGCAACCTGGGGCATACAGAGCTGGCTGCCTCCCTCCCGGGGTTGCCCCACCATGCTGCTTTAACCCAGGAAACTCAGCTTTAACCCTGGAAGCCTGGAGGACAGACAAGGCACCAAGCAGGGGGCTCATGCCACAACCCAACAACCAACCCGCCATGGCCCGGTACCAGGCTGTGGTCCAGTGGTTAGGAACCTCTGAATCAGGTGACCTGGATGGATAAAATCCTGAGGGGAATGCTCTCTTCCTAGCAGCGGGCATTTTGAAAGCAACAAGCAACATGCCTCCAGGCTGCTGCCTAGATGATTATCTATAAGCAAAGACCTGGAAACTAGCCAGAAGTTAGGATTTATGTCTAGGCCAGTCAAGTTTTAAAAGGATTATTATGTCCAAGACTATACAAGACTCTGAATGATTGTTTGCTCAAAGTGTATCCTGACTTCCTTGTTTTATCTCCCCTCCTCTCCCCAGTCAATAAAGGTATCAGGTTACCTGATACCTGGATGTGCCTTGCTGTGTTACTAGGGGGTGGTGGGGAGAGAGAGGCAGGCCTTTTTGCTCCCACATGGACCAGTAGAGATTGTCTATGTTCCCTGTCTGAGGTTATCTTGGGATGCTTTGGGCTGAAAGAGGCATCCAGAAATATTACCTGTGGGCAAAGCAACCCCAAGGTTCATAGGGTCTGTGTGCCCCTGGCTGCACAGTGCCCAGGTGGTGGCAGCGTTACCTCAGGCTTGCGGGTGTTCTCTAGGACGCGGGACTGCCAGCTGTAGGCTCCCTGTGGGAGACTCACAAAGTGAGGTTTTTGGGTCTAGCAAAGTGAGGCAGGTGGCTCTGCATAGTAGCACCCCCTACTGTGCCACCATAAAGAGCACCATACCATTAATTGCTATGATACCTATTCAGGTTACCACAAGATATTAGCCCTGTACAAAGCGGTAAATAGTCAATTCAGATTCAGGTGATTCGGAAGGACAGTGATTCGAGTCACTGTCCTGATTCGATTCAGCCAAATCGGATTCAGGGATTTGGCCGCTGAATCGGCTAATTTGGTGATTCAGCCATAGACTATAATGAAGAATTACTAAAATACCTATAACTAGGTCATTTTTTTTGCACATTTCAATGAAAACATGAGGTATGGTAGCCCCTTCTGAGGGCATGAAGCCTGCCAAGTTTCAACGAGATAGGTGCAGGGGTTTCTGTGAAAATGTACCTCAAACTGCTATACTAAATTATAGGGTGAAGTGCACACTCTGGAGTAGGGAACAATTGCAGGCAGACCTGAACAGGTTAGAAAAGTCAGCAGTACACAATAGGATGCAACACAACAAGGACAAGTGCAGAGTGCTGCACCTAGGGTGCAACAATATCCAGCACACCTACTGGCTGGGAAGTGACCCTCTCAGCAGCACAGAAGTGGAAAGGGATCTCGGCGTCATAATGGACTTCAAAATGAACACAAGTCATCAGTGTGACAAAATCATCAGCAAAGCTAACCGCAGTTTATCATGCATCAGCAGATGCATGACAAACAGAACCAAGGTGGTGATACTTCCCCTCTATGAGGCATTGGTCAAACTGTTGTTGAAGTACTGTGTCCAGTTTTGGGCACTGTACTTCAAGAAGGATGTTGATAGACTCGAGAGGGTCCAGAGGAGGGCCACTTGTATGGTTAGGGGCTTACAGGACAAGCCCTATGAGGAGAGACTGAGGGTCCTGGACCCCTTCAGTCTCCACAAGAGAAGGCTGAGAGGTGATCTTGTGGCCACATACAAATTCATTAGGGGGACACAGCAAGGGATTGGAGATGCTCTGTTCACCAGGGCACCTCTTGGGGTAATAAGGAACAATGGTCACAAACTGACAGAGAGCAGATTTAGGCTGGACATCAAGAAAAACTTCTTCACAGTAAGGGTGGCCAAAATTTGGAATGGGCTTCCAAGGGAGCTGGTGCTCTCCCCTACCTTGGGGGTCTTTAAGAGAAGGCTGCATAGGCATCTGGCTGGGGTCATTTGACCCCAACACTCTTTTTTTTTTTCCTGCCTAGGTAAGGGGTCGGACGCGATCTGTTTCTATGAATCTATGAAAAAAAAAACCTGTTAAAAGCAAAACTCGCGTCACTTATTTGTGTTAACTGGGTTTCTGGTTGTAGCCATGTTAGTCTAAGGAACAGGCACGCCAGGTTCTTTGAGTAGATATGATATCTTTTATTAGACCAACTGAATAGTTGGAGAAATATAGCTTAGCAAGCTTTCACATTTAAAAAACCGTTTGTAAGGCTGAGGAAGCATCTGCAGTTGGTGTGTGTGCTGTTCCTGGATGGAATGAATAGTAAAGTCAGAGGCTGGTCTGCATGCAAGAAAGCCAGTCAGTGAAAATGTAAATTGAGGCAACAGGGGGTGAGGGACAGGCTGGTGGGGGGGGGGGAAGGGGGATATAGCAGGTAAAAGTGGAGAGGTACCTGGGGAGTCAGATGTCAGGCAGGTTATAGTGTGTCATAAATCCAATGTCTATATTGAGTGCATGAGTTTTTGTATCTCAGACGTCGATGAAGTGAAGTTCATAGCCTCGTCTGTGAAAAGTGTTTTGTAAATTCAAACAAGCACCAAACCTCACTAGCCTTATCACCAGAAGCAAATTTCCTACAGCCCAAAACACACCGAATGCATCCAGACCATGCCATGACAAAAAATGCAAAACCTGCCAATATCTCTAGTTCCGCCACAACAGAATCATTACCATTCCTGGATCTTACAGTTGCACCTCCAGAAGCATTATATATCTCATCCAGTGTACCAAATACCCTGATGGAAAATATGCGAGAGACAAAACAACAACTGTGCGCTAGAATGAATGCGCACCAGACATCTATTAAAGAGAAGAACACCCAATTACTAGTGGGGGCACATTTCTCACAAGAAAACCACCCTCTCTCCAATCTCAGTCCTGACCCTCAAAGGGAATTTACAAAACACTTTTCACATACTAGTCTATGATCTTCACTTCATCAGCCTCCTCAATTCAAAAACATGGACTCAGTACAGACATTGGATTTATGACACACCATAACCTGCCTGACATCTGACTCCCCAGGTACCTCTCCACTTTTACCTGATACATCCCCCTTCTCCTCTCCCTCCCAGCCTGTCTCACCCCCTGATGCTTCTATTTACATTTTCACTGACTGCCTTTCTTGCATGCAGACCTGCCTCTGACTTCTTTACTATTCATTTCACCCAGGAAGAGCACACACACCAATTGCAGATGCTTCCTCAGCCTGATGAAGGGTTTTTAAACCCGAAAACTTGCCAAGATATATTTCTCCAACTATTCAGTTGGTCTACTAAAAGATATCAGACTGCCGCAAAGAACCTTGTCTGTCTTGTGTGTGTTAAGGCAGAGCAGGATGAATGCAGCAGAGATGGTAGCCTGTAACAGGGGGCCTTCCCAGTGCTGGTTAGATCTTAGCCCACCCATCTGTCTCTGGGCTGACCACCCATCCTTCTTTCATCTGCCATGCCTTGATGGAAAACTGATTCAGATGTTACCCAGGCAAGAATGCTACCCATTTAGACCCCTGATGTGGCCAATGCCTCACAGATGGCATCCTTCATCCCCTCCAGGTTGTAGTCCCCTCTCTGGGATCTCTGGCTCCACCTTAGCCCCTGGCCCCACTTTCAGGCCAGTTGGAATCCCGAGTCTCTTGCTCTGGGCATTCCTTGTGGTGGGCTCCTGGCTCTTTGATCCCACCTTTGGGTCCTGGCCCCAGCATGGATCAGTGAAGGGTACCTCACATCAGATCTGAGTCGCCTGACTGTTCTCACCCACAAAACTCCACCACAACCGGTAGGCCTCAGGCCTGTCAAAGATCTAACAGGTCTGAGCTTTCTGCAGCCAGGACTGTGCATGTGTGCGTGTGGTGGCTGGAGGTTATCAGGCATCCCCTACCTGCTTTTCACCATGGAGGTTCATGGTCCTGGCATTTCCTGGGGATGCCATGCCACTGGCAGTCTCACCAGGCCTCCCTACCCTGGCAGGGTACAGTTTTAGGTTATGCCCAGGACCTGGGGCCTCTTCCTTCCCCACAGCCCCAACCTATACCTCCAAGTTCATCCTGGCATGGGAGCTTGGCAGGGAGATGTTCTTCCCCTGATGGCTGGAGAAAACTAAATTGCCGCATCCAGCTCTGAGAGCGGGGCATTAAATGCTTGTGAAAGCAACTAAAGAAAGGAAATAGGCACAGAGTGAGGAGGGTGGCACTCACTCTATCTGCATGTAGAGCTTGGGAAACCCCAGCAGCGGGAAGTTCACCTTCAAGAACATCAGCTGCTCCACCAAACCAGGTTCCAAGGAGGTGTGGTGGGGTGTCACAACATCCTCAGCAATGCTCAACACCCTCTTGCTAGGAACACTGGCCGGTGGACAAGACAGGTGTTCCTGGGCAACTGTGGCCAGATCCTGCCACATCCGGCTACGAGTTATGCAATAGGCCAAGGGGTCTCCATGTGGCTCCATGTCCTTGGTAAGATAAG